AAGTATCTGAGGCAGGATCCATACTCAAGTTTTTCTGGCTCTCCAGTCCTGGGATCTGTGTGCTATGCCACCAGCCGCTTGAAGGCTGTGCCCGTGTTTGTGAAGTAATGGAGTTAGAGCTGACACTCAGAATTTCTGGATTTTTGTTCTTTTCAAATATCCTTTGGTTTCCCCAGCACCCCTTTTGATGCATTTCTCAAGTGATACTGGAGCCAAATCTAATCCTTTAACATCAGAAAATAAAGGTTTTTTTTTTTCCCACAGCTATGGTGGGCTAGGTCAAGAGACTGGCTGCCCTCTTACTAGGTCATCTGCATGCATGTGAAGTACTCAGCCATGCGGAGGCATACGTGAGGCTTGCCAGGTTAGGGGGTGTGCCTGCTTGCTCTCCAGGTTATCTGCTATTTTGCTTCCTTGTCAAATTAAACCTGTGTATCTAGGGATGCTAAAAGAATTTAGAAAGAATAAAGGTTTCTTGTCTGTATTTCGGAGAGAGAAGATATGAAAAGCACATCATTTTACCCTTACCTCCCTCTCTTTTTTCTCTCCTGACCCAAACACCTTAATCTAGCTATGGTGCTCAAAGCCATACAATATCTTGGGGTTATTCCATGGGGGCCCAGAGTAGAGCACATTAAACCCACACCAGGAAATGGACCGCTGAAAGGTTTGATTGTGTGGTTCTTTGCTCCTGAAAGGCTGATTTATTTTCTAGTTTCAACAGTACAGCTTGTTCCTGCTGCTGGCTTCAAACCCGAATAAGGACACCCTGATCTTTCTTAGCAGTAGGGGTAGAGAGGAGGCAAGGGTCTAGGGACCCCATTTCTTTGATATGCATGTTCCTTGAGTTAACAAATGGTCTCCTTCCTGAACATAGAGCAATAGAAGCTAAAGACTTTGACAAATACCAAAACACCAGTGTATAATGCAATCAGATAGCTTGGATATATATGGGAGGGGTCCTTTGGTTCCTCAGTTTCCATTTGGTTGTCAGTCCAGGAGATCAGTTAAAAAAAAACAAACCCAAAACAACAAGGCAGACTTGGAAATCAAGTGTGTAAGGAGGATGTGCCAAGTATAAAATGTGGGGTTCTTGTGAATTAAGATCAGAAGAAAGTGTGGCTGGTAATCACAGGTCTCAGAACGAGTCCTGAGTGGGAGAGCTATGAAAAAAGGGATGGAAAAAAATGTGGAAAGAGAATTCTGAACAAGTTAAAAATTGGCAGTAAAGTCTGTCATATAAAAGAGAAGCATATGGCTATATTGCAGCTTGAAGGTTTTAGAGCAGATATAAGAGTGGGTTTCTGAATAGAAGGATTGGTAAACGTGGAATATTAGTGACAGTAGTTTTGGAATTTCTCACAGAGTCTTTAAAATAGGGTAGAGTGTCATCTGTTTGGATGGCTTAAATAGGGTCTTGCCTAGAAGACAGGAGAATGGACTAAATTAGTGTTTGCCCTTCTATGGACTTCAAGATACAGCCTTATTGCTCAATTGAATTCAACAAGTATTTTTAAAGCTCCTACTATGTGTAAATCATCGTGTTGGGGATACAAATAAAATTAAAAATAGTCCCTATCCAAAAGGAATTTACATTTTCCTGAGTGATGTGTATGTCTGTGAATTTTTATGCATACAAGGTATCATTAAATTATTTTGTACTTTGAGACTTAATTATTGGGTATGAGAGAAATGATTATTTCTCTCTCATATTAATAATCAATTATTAAAATTGGGGACACCTCAGTATTTCTTCCCCCCCCCCCATTTCCTTGTTCAGTCTCTCAAGGACAGAGCTGATGGAAGATAGGATTAACACTCTCCTCATTCTGGGTATTGCTACTCCACCCAAATAGCTCAGGCTTAGAAGGGGGATAGAGATTCTTTGTCTAGATTGCCCAGTGCTGGGGGTGGTCTTAGTATAGGGATAGTGGCATGATGTCACTCTCAGTCCCTCATTGGAGTGAGCTCATGTCTCTTTGTAAAGTCCGCCTCTCACTAATTGTTAACCAATCAGAGTCGATAGACACCCTCAGGAACTCTCTTCTTCCAATTTAAGTTGCCCAGAGATTATGTCTCTCAAACTTTTTAAATGCCACAGATGGATTGGTGATTTCACTGAAAGGGGCATTCCCTGTACGGTGCAGACCATAGGCTAACTACACTTTCTTATACTGAATGAGTCAAGTCTGAGGCCTGTAAATCTACGATAGAGGATCCACCAGGTGATCAAGGGGCCTTTATATCTTAGCATTGCAGAGATACCAATGGAAGCATGGCCAGCTATCTATTTTTACAGTCATAAATTTCTCTGATGCAATCATTTACATTGATTTTCCTATACAATTATTTCTTGGTAATATATCATAGCCTTCTCATACCCACCAGGCACCTCTGCAAAGTCCTTTGAGTGAGCCATGGCTTTATTTCTAAAGGCATTCAGACTATCCCATGCTTTGCAACCTCACAGTATCATCAGAAGAACATTGACGTTAAAAATGATGAGTCTTTGTCTCAGGGAGTAGAGATTGGGGTTATTAAAAGCAATGTATGACTTCCCCAACGTGATCTAATGAATTATCCTATTTAATTACAAGCTCACTAGTCTATTGTCTATACATAGTATTTGACCAAGACAGGTATATTCATGGGTTCTATGGGTTGTCCATACAGCTTATATCACCAAGGCATTCTGCACCCATTTGTTTAGATCACAGATCTCATTTAGGAAGCTCTGAAGTGTTCTGGAACTTGAAACAATGAGCTTAATGTCATCTTCAAACAAGAATAACTGACAGGGCAGCTAGATGACCCAGTGGACAGAGCAAAGGCCCTGGAGTCAGGAGGACTTGAGTTCAAACACTGGCTCAGACCAGACACTTGTCACTTACTATGTGACCCTAGGCAAGTCACTTAATCCCAATTGCCTCACCAAAAAGCAAAAATAAAAAAATAAAAAAATAAAGAACCAAGGGTCACTTCCATGTCACACTGAGTCACTGAAGTAGGATGTGTAGTAGCATGAAATAACTAAAGATAATAAACAAACATCTATTCTGTAGACTGAGCAAGTAATATACCTTGCATATGTGTTATTTTTTTTTATTTAAAATTTTTTAAAAAAAATTTCACTTTTTTGGCTAGGCAATGGGGTTAAGTGCCCAGGGTCACACAGCTAATAAGTGTTATGTGTCTGAGGCCGGATTTGAACTCAGGTAATCCTGAATCCAGGGCTAGTGCTCTATCCACTGTGCCACCTAGCTGCCCTGTGTTCTTATTTTTCAAATGTATGTAGATACAGTTGTGATGAATAAAATAAAACTAACTTAATTTGTCAGCATTTCCAATTTAATAAGAGTTGCTTATCCCTAATTAATGGATATTGCTACTATTAGTTTGGATGCTGGAAAATGTTTTAGTGTTAAAAAAGGGTCTTCATGCTCAAAAATATTGAGTGTCACTGGGTTAAATGACTTCTTAGGTTCTTTTTAACCATCTGATACTGAAATCAAAACTAAAATGCAAGGTCTATGGAAGATCTTGTATTGGAGCAAGGCCAACAACATGTTTTCTAAACATAGAAATGACCTCTAACAAGTTCTGATGATAACAGCTTTTAATTAGAAAGTATTTTCTGTTCAATGATACTATAGGATAGGTACCCAAAGTATTAATATCTCCCGTCTCATAAGTGAAGAAACTGAAGGCTAGGGAGGAAAGTGACTTGGCCAGGTACATAAAGATATATATCTGTCTTGTAAGTGTTAGAGGTCAGGCTGGAACCCAGATCCTCTGACTCTAATTCCAGGGAATTTTCCTGTTTGCTTTCTCTAAGTAGCCAAACTTAGGAAATGAAGTTAGAGATAGAAAATATCACCCACAAAGGCCAATAGGCCTCGTCTAAGGGAAAACTGAGGGTAGATTGAATATCAAGATGCAAATGCTTTTCTTTGTCAATAATCAGTCAGTAAACATTTATTAAATACCTGCCACTATCTGGCATTGTGCTAAAAACTAGGGATAAAAATAAGACATAAGACAGTTCTTGCTTTCAAGGAGCTCACAGTCTGATAGGGTGGACAACATAAAAACTATGTACAAACAATACATACAGGAAATAGTGCGTTTTAATTATACAGTTGTCCCAAAAGTTTTAGTGCAGTTTAAGCTTAAAACTGCACTAAGACCTTTGGGACACCCTGTATATTCTTCTTTAAAAAGCAAATATTTTAAGGAAGGAAGAATTGTAAATCTTAGTTACATTAAGAGTGTTTTCATATTTTGAACCTTCTTTAGTTATTTAGAAGATGTTATGATTTAATGCTTTACATTTTGTAAAAAGTGATTTATTATATACTTAATACTAAATTACTTAATACTAAACATCAACACAACTACTTAAATTTGTTTTATAACAGCTTACATTTAATTAAGTTAATATTGATGCATAAAATATCCTAACTTTTCAGTCATTCCCTCTTAGAATCTCCAGTGTTTTACATTTTAAAAGCTATTTACAGTCACCCTTCTAGTCTTTGCAAAGCAAACTAGCATAGTTTTGTGGACAGAGACACAGAAATAGAGAAGGGAATCTTTTGCTTAAGGAAACGATAATGTGGGTGATTCCTGATTCCTAACTTTCTTTCTGCAGTCATGAACTACCTTTGGCTAGTTCAAATGCAGAGTAATGAAAAACTTTTTGATGAAAGGGAAAGGTCTTCTGTAACATTTCCTCAGACAGTAAATCACCCACAATTCAACCTTTTCCCTCACCATTAGTGATTTTTTATCACTTCCCTTGTGACATTTTGAATGGCAGGAATATAATTCTTTTAAAGTGTGGCCTTTAGTTTTTTAAGAAAGATCAGGAAAATTTGATCCTTTGCTGTACAATCAAGAACCCTTCAGTAAATTAAAACCCAATCTCATTCCCAAGATACACTTTTTAAAAAAATGGAAACAAATCAAGTACAAGAGAATAAAAGATGAAATTTTCTTACGCTTTTGGTCAAAAGATGTTGTGAGATTTTGACTTTTCTTCTGGCTGGACTGGACACTGAAAAGTGAGTTAAAGAAAACTCATTAGAGAGAACATAGGATTATAGCATCTAGTGATCTTGAATACCTTTTTCTTTGGAATCTCTATTGAATTCCTGGTGTTGGAATTGGGTAGAGGGAAAGAAAGATCTGGGAAAGTGAAGGCAGGGAAAGGCAATGTGATATGTTAGTTTATTGAGGAAAGCTTTGAAGGTGAAAAAAAGGTTTCCATTTTGTTGGCAATGATGTAGACCATGACTATAGAATAAACACCATTGGTAGGTGAAAACGCATTTAATTGATGTCATGACTAGGTAACATGGTGTAGTTAGTCCAGGACAGAGTACAGACTGGTTTTTGGAAGATGGAAATGGAGAGGAATTGCAGCAGAATAAAAATCAACAACAACCATAACCACAGTCTTGACCCAGGCACTTCGGAGTAATGGCAACTAAAATGGTCTGAGGGTAAAATTCAATTTTGCTGCTTCTGGGAATCTCTTGAACTCTTTCTGTCAAAATATTTTGTTGTGAACAGAGCTGTGCCCCTTCTTTATCTAGCATTTCTTGAACCTGCCAGGCCATCCTGGCATAGTTTGGCAGAAAACACAAATATGTTAGGAAAGCTAGCATATTTGTTCACTTTGGGGTCATAGGATCTTAGACTGGTGCAATGGGGTATTGATCATAGGCCCCAGATCAGCTGAGTTCTCTTTATCCCACTTGATTAAATTATCCTCCTGTGAGATATGCCTTAACACTTTCTTGCCCATTATACCTGCACTTTATATCCTATAATTCATTAAATAGGCTAGGGGAAGAGGGAAGGAGCTCATAAATTAGGGGTCCCCTTATAAAGACCCTCATTATGTTTAGGATTGGATGGGATTTTAGAGGTCATCTAATCCAAGCCCCTCATTGGATAGAGGAGGAAATCCAGAGAGTTTAAGCAACTTGACCAGTCTACCTATAACAGAACGGGAATGCAAACCTAGATCATCCGAGCCAGATCCAGAAATTTTTCCTTAATAATAGGCTAATGAGGATACCAGGATCTGCTAAAGCCGTGCTGGTGTCTCTTAATAATAGCTAGCATTTAGATAGGGCTTTAAGGTTTACAAATCACTGAGTATATGTAAACTCATTCAATCCTCACAACCTGTATGAGGTGGGTGACATATATCTCCATTTTACAGATGAGGAACTGGAGACTCAGAGAGGTTAGATGACGTCACAGCTGGTAAGTGTCCGAGGGAGGATTGAAACTCAGGTCTTTCTGATTCCAAGTTATATACTCTATGCACTTAGCCATCTAGGTGCCTCTTCTTTCTCCTCCAGAGGAAGCGAGGAACAGGGAGGAGAAGTGGTAGTGGTCAAAGAGATGTAACAACCCCCTAGCTTCCTTCGGAAGCTCAGACTATTCTAGCGTTCCACCCATCCCCCTTAAATGTTTTATTTTAATGTTTTAGCTTTGAAAGGCTTGTCCCTAAGGCAATCGCTTCTAATGCTGTTGTCCAGCTTGCCTTGAAATAACCTGATCGCGTCTCAGCTCAGGAAACAAGCATTTCAACTTTAGTTTCTTGGCAGAACCGCAGCTCTCTTTTTTTGTTGGCTTTCAGTTTGAGTCTGTAGGTTTTCCCTCCTTATGATCCCATCAGGGGGCCTATCATATAGACTGACCCGCCCTGACCGAGGCAGGAATTCAAAGCTCATAAAAGCATAAACACTGGTTTTTCCAGCCATCTTTTCTGGGAAGGAAGAAGGGGTTTAAGATTGGTTTTTGAAGGAGGAGAAAGAGAGGTTAAGTGACTCGCTGGGGGTGTCAGAGCCATTGGACCAGGGCCTGTGGGCCCCTAATGAGCCTCCATGGGTAGGTCAGACTTTAAAGGTGTAACATTTAATATGGCTGCTTTGAAGAAGGGAGGGTTGTGTCAGCTAGCTGCTGGGCCCAATTACCCAGCTGATAATCAGTTTCAGCTTTGCAAAGGGAATGGTAACTATATTTTCTGAGCTTCAAATTGAGACACATAGTCAACTGTGCCTTATTGCTGAAGTCTATTTTCCTACAGGTGCACATAGAACATGTTGGGCGCCAGGTCTTTACAGCTGAAGACAATAGAGTCTCTCATCACCACCAGTGCGGTCCAGCCCGGGCCACAAAGCTGTGCCATTTACATAGGAGACTTTTGAGAGCAGCCAATCCCAAACCTTCCTCATCTACACTTTACAATAGAGGGAAGGAAATGAGACTCAGAGATCATAGTGAATCAGATATTTGACTTGAGAATTAGGAAGTTTTGTTGTCATTCAGTCACTTCAGTCAGGTCCAACTCTTTGTGGCCCTATTTGGGGTTTTCTTGGCAAAGATACTGGGGTGGTTTGCCATTTCCTTCTCCAGCTCACTTTACAGATGAGGAAACTGAGGCAAACAGGGTTAAATGACTTGTCCAGGGTCACACAGCTAGTGTTTGAGGTCAGATTTGAACTCAGGAAGATGAGTCTTTCTGACTCTCATCATTGTTATCTACTGCGCCACCTAGAGGCCCTGTGAGGATACTCCCTCAGTCATTTAACTAGCTGGATGAGCCTGGAGAAGCCACTTACCTTTCTGGGCCTTACCATTTGCCATCTGGAAAATGAGGGGGTTGGATTCAACACCCTATGGTCCCCTCTAATGCTAAATCTTATGCTTCTATGAAGTGAATTGCCCAAGTTCATACAGGCAGGACAGAATCCAGATTTGAACTCAGGTCTTCAGACTGAAATCCAATATTCTTTCTACTATATTTTACTATAGGCATGCATAATAAGATCTAATATGAATATGTTTTTGTGGAAGAATTGAGATGATTCTGTGATTCTGCCTGTAATTCTCCACCTTTTGTGACTTGTCAAAAAATTATGCTGAAATAACTAATTCAGTTACTATTTATTTTATTTTTAATAATATTTTCTTGTCCCCCAATTACGTGTAAAAACTTTTTTTTGAAGTTTTGAGTTCCAGATTCTATCCCTCCCTCCCCTTCACCCTCCATGAGACCGTAAGCAATCTGATATAAGTTGTACCTGTGCAATCATGTAAAATATTCCCGTATTAGTCATTTTGTGCAAGAAGACTTGAACAATAAAAAAAAAGAAAGAAATTAAGAAAAAGAAAGGAAGGGAGTAAAAAATAATATGCTTCAGTCTGTATTCAGACAGCATCAGTTCTTTCTCTGGAAGCAGATAGCATTTTTCATCATGAGTCCTTTGGGATGGTCTTGGATCATTGTTTTGCTGAGAATAGCTATCAGTTACTATTTATTGAAACATTAGAACTTCTGGGGTATGGGACAATGGAATAGAATATTTGTGTTTTTTTAAATGGAATATTTAAAATGGGGATGATTCAGGAGAATCTAGGGCATATAGTTTTTGTAACCCTAAGGCAAGTGGAATGTCTTACCCTTTTATACAAACAGGGTCATGTAGCCTCCAGCTGCCACCAGCAAGGACAACAGCATATTCAAGTCTATTCCTGACTCAGGACAGAGAGGAACTGTGGATTCCAGGGGTAGTATTTCTTCCTTAAAATGGGTATAATCCATCTCAATTCTTCCTAATTGGTAAATAGGCTTCCTTCGCCCATTGGGATTCAAATAGAGGTACTTTGCTATGCCTTTAAACCCAAATCACTCTGACTTTCACTGATTGGCCAATAATGGGCTCCAGCCCAGGCCTCACTTAGTCATTGTTTGGGTATTGATGGCTCAAAGTGAGTGTAAATAGCAATTGTTTCTGTTCAGGCCAGAATCTCTGTGCACCTTCCTCTCCTAGATCAATTCTTTATGAAGGCAAACCAGGCCAAATGTTGCCTAAATTCTCACCTAGCCTTTCCTTACTGAATGGGTATTGCCTCAGACAAACTGAGATTTGGGAAAGACCTTAGCTTAAGAAGGCCGAGGTCCTTCCCCGCATCCCGGGCCATCGCCAGTTGTCCTGACCTATGTCTTGCCACCGCATTCTGATGATCCTGGAGGAGAGAGTGAGGCTGATGACTTTGCACAGTTCTGCCTCACTTAAATCCAATTCACTTGCAAGTCGAGACACCGCCCCATGATAGCATTGGTCCTTTTCGAGAACCAAGAATGAACAACAGTCCTTCGCTCTGGTCAGACTAGCCCCCTCACAGTATCAGAAACAGGGCATTCTCACTCCTGCTTCTGGGACTTCTCTCATATTATTCTCCCAGATTAGAATGACATTTCTTGGGTCATGGGATTACAGATTTAGAGCTCTAAGGGATATTGGAGATCTTTAGTCCAACTGCAGCTCAGAATTCCCCAGAACACAAGTCCAACCACTTAACTTTATAGATTAGGAAACTGAAAGGTTAAGTAACCTCTAACTTCTCTATCCTTCATCAAGTCCCATTCTTCTCTGAAACCTATTTCGTAGGTCTGTACTGTAATCTAGCCTTTAATTATTGGCTTTGGATGTTGGTGTAATGGATAGAGTGCCGGATTCAGAATCAGGAAGACCTGAATTCCAATCCTGCTTCAGATACTTATTGGCTCTGTGTCCTTGGGCAAGACATTTAACCTCTCTAGACCTCAGTTTCCTCATCTATAAAATGAGGATAATAGTAGTACCTATTTTACAGAGTTGTCATGAGGATGACATGAAATAACATGTGTGAAATGCTTAAAAGACCTGAAAATACTATAGGTATTCAGTCTTATAAGTCACGCTCACTCTCTGTGACCCCATTTACCATCTTCTTAGCAAAGATACTGGAGTGGTTGGCCATTTCCTTCTCCATCTCATTTCACAGATGAGGAAATTGAGGCAAATAGAGTTAAGTGATTTGCCCGGGGTCACACAGCTATTAAGTGTCTGAGGCCAAATTTGAACTCAAGAAGATGAGTTTTCCTGACTCCAGGCCCAGAGTTTTATCCCTTGTGCCACCTACCTGCCCCTAAAGGACTATATAAATGCTAGCTATTATTATTGTTTATTCTATATTTCATGGGTGTTAGTTGTATTGGTCCAGCTAGATGGTTAACTCCGTAAGTGCAGGGACAATTAATTTTTATGTATCTGTATGCCCTACAATGTTGAGCATGTAGTAGTCCCACAATCTAATAAATACTTATTGAATGATTGCTAAGCCAGTTTCAAATGGAGTACTTGAGAAGGAACTTCACCAAGGAGGCAAAACTGAAATTTCTTCAAAAACAAAGCTGAAATTCCCTCCTAGGAATTGTTATAATTAAATTTACAGTTATAAGTCTCCTTCTGCAGGGATAATACAGAAAATCTGCTCCTTGCTGAAAGCTTAAGATACCTGTAATTCAGATGGAGGCAAAATAAGGTAGGGCTAACAGAGTAAATTGGAGAGGCATGCATAGGGCCACTTTAAATACAACTTGCTGTTGGGTTTAAGTGTCCAATTTTTCTTTTCTAGAGAATGTCCTTGCCTTGCAGTGAATTGCCTCAGAATAAAAATGGCTCACATTTACATAGATGTTTACCATTTGCAAAGCACTTTCTCCACAGAAACCTGTGAGGCTGACATCCATGTTGTGTGTTAAGGCTGTCAAAGTACCTTATATGCTTTATTTCATAACCTTATGAGGCATATTTTTAGGATCATAGATTTGAGCTGGGAGGAACCCTACAGGTTATGTAGTCTGACTCCCTCATTTTACAGATGAGGAAAATGAGGCTCAGGAAGGTCGTGACCAAGGTCACGACCTTCACAAGGTCACTCAGCTAAGAAGGAATAAAGCTTGAGTCAGACCCAGAGCTCTTCCCACTGTATATGTGGCTATAGGTCACTCCACGTGTTACATTCTTGTAGATGAATATATTGGGACTCAGACAAAGTAAGTGATAGTCACACAGCTAGTAAGTATCAGAACCATGAGTCAGGATCAGTTTCAACAAGATGAACTCTGAAGTTCTTTGCATTATACTGCATTCAGTAGAGGTTCTTAACAAGGGTTAAGGTGAATTAAAAATATTTTGACAACTGCATTGTAATATAATTTGTTGCCTTTGTAACCCTATGCATTTCAAAACATGATTCTGAGAAGGGTTGTATGGATTTCACCAGAATGACAAAGGGGTGGGTCCCTGACTCAAAAACTGGTTAAGAACTCCTGATCTAGAGCCATACATTTAAGAAAATAAAGAATGATTGTAATATCTATCAGGATCACTCATTCTTAGTTAAAAATATGTTCATTTCCTTTAAGTGTAAAAGGATCTTTTTAGATGAGGAGACCAGGATTTAGATGAGGAGTGGGATTCAACCTCACTTAAGAATTGCAAACAAGTCTTCAAGTCTAAAATGCAAATGGCAGTCTGACAGCTTGGCTAGCCATCCTCCTTCTGAGTGACCTCAGCCTCCTGAGAACGGAATCCTAGCTGTTTTTCTCCTTCTGATTTAGAAATATACAGTGTGTCCCAAAAGACTTAGAGTAGTTTTAAGCCATTAAAACTTCATTGTTACATAAAGTTACATTCCCTGGCAGTACCTGCATATTCAGACTGAGTCTTTGGCTTCCCCCCCCCCCCCCCCCCAACAAGAAATGGCAATGTCACTGTTTACAAGAGAGGAAGAAAGAATTGTCTGGATGGGAAGTCACACCAGCAGACAGCTCACTTCATTTAAGCCACAGTGCCTTAGACCTAACAATGAAATCCAGAGCTACGCATGAGTGACTGGCTTGTACTCCAATATGGTAGGGAGAGAACAGAGGATGAAGGGAGAAAAAAGGGGACTATTCCTTAAAGGAGGTAAAGGAATTGTCCAGTAATAAGATGATTTCTCTGAGTCAGCTGAGCAGTTGCACAAATCCTTCCTCTAGACACTGAACACAAGCAGAGTCCCCTGACTTGGCCCATAAAGATCCAGCCACTTTACAGTTTGGCCACCCTTATCCTCCCTCCCTGGCTGTTTTGGGGATGGGCAACTGTGGGGCTCTCAGTATGAGCAGTACACAGGTCAGCAGATTACTTGACCTCTTCTTTTGAAATATAACCCATTGACTAGGGCATTTCCTCCTATGTTTCCCCTGGATGTTGTAGTGAAATTATATTTCTGAACCAGCTGCTTCTTGTTCCATTAACTCCTTAGCTCTTTGGGGAAAAAAACTGAAGATTCAATAGGGCTGTCCTGGGGATTTCATCTTTATTTCTCTTTTCTAAAACAATGAATACCTTGGGGTTGCAGGGACTGAACAGTTCTCGGTGGTTTTCTAATGAATTGTTTCTCAGTAAGGAATCTGTGCACCTAAATGTTTCCTCCAGAAAAAAAAAAAACAATAACAACAACAGAAACCCAACGATCAGATGTCACCGACCTGAGAATAAAGCAATAATCTAGCATCTCATTTTCCTTACCCTTCCACTGTATTTAAGAAAGACAAGAATGTGCAAGGCTCTCTTGATGAGCTTAGCTTTTTTACTCACCTTTGGATGAAATCACAGTGGTGAAAACTTCTAAATTTTCATCACTGCAGCTGTAAATCTGATGCATTTTCTTTCAGTCGTCTCTCCCTGAAGCGTGTCCTTTATCTGGCGACGGCTCTGAACTTCCTTCCAGTCAAGAGGTTTCCCTAATCCAATCTGCCTCTGTGATCATTGTCCAGGTCCACAAAAGACAGGCTGATGCTGTGATCTCATCTCATTCCAGATTCTTCATTGCAACATTTTCTACTCCCATCTGTCTTTTTATGAATTCTATTATTGCAAACATTTGCCTGAGCAGGGGAGGCTTCAGCCTCCTCCCAGGCTCAGATGGAACATTTTTATTGTACGATATGTCTGCCGCAGTGAATTTGTGAGACTTTCATAAAGTGAACGGGGATAAAGTGAAATAACCTAGCCTGTTGTATGTGTGTGGCGGGGGTAGGGGTAGGAGGTGAGAGATGCTTAGCTATGGAATTTCACCAGATAGGTATCATAAATGTCAGTACCAGCAATTGTCCCTTATTTTCTCAAGCTTAAGATTTTGCGAAGGTTTTCAGTTTTACCACTAAGGTTCCTTTGTTAGCAGGACTGAAAATTCAATACATTTTCATGTTTACTTGACTTTTATTAAAGTTTCTCTGTTAAACACAGGAATCATTTCTGTAAACCATATTTTCATGCCTGTTCATTATAACACTTGTGTTTTCAGCAAGCTGGACTTTTTGGCATCCACATGAAGCCTCAAAGACTATGCTAGGGATATGATCCATTCTAGGGGGAAGTTATAGGATAACTTATCATATAGTTGAACACAGCACTTAGTACATTGCTATAGTATGTAGTAAGTGCTTAATAAATGTTTTTTGACTGACTGATTTATTGATTACATAAACATACTTTACCTGTACATATGCTTTACATCAGGACTAGAAAATCTGTGATAACATGATAAGTATTTGTTCACTTACACCATCATCATCATCATCTTCTTCATCATCATCATCATAACTAGCATTTGTATGCTGCTTTAAAGTTTGCAGAGTCTTTCACAAATATTAGCTCATTTGAAGCTCATAACAATCCTGTGAAGTTGGTGATGTTATTATCCCCATTTTACAGAAGAGGAAACTGAAAGGGTTGTATAACTTGCCAACAGGATTACAACTCAGGTCTTTCTGATTCCAAATCCAGTACCCTACAAACAATATGTGTGTGTGTGTGGTGTGTGTGTGTGTGTGTTAGAGATCATACTCCCAGGGCACTTTTCCGCACAAGCCTCTATAATATGAGATGGTCTAGGTAAGCCTATTAGCAGATGCCCCTTCAAGCACACTATCTGGAAAATGGTCCCCTCAACCAGCAGTGAACAGGTAGTTGGGAGTAGGTGACGGTAGTGCTGGAAGAACTCTCCCCACCACTCCTTTCTATAATCCTTTCTGTGGGCCTGGTAGTTAGGGATCCTTCCTTTCTCCAATACTTCACTTTCTTAGATTTGTTCCTGGAAAAATTACAGAAGAACAGACAGAATTGCATGAACTTGGAAGCAGGGTTGGGTTGGAATCTGATCTAGTGGAGGGTGGATTTCCTACACAGTGAAAATCATAGATCCATCTAAGTGTCTAAGCCTGGGAAAGATTATATCTTAAACCACTATCAGCTAATACTTAATCAGTTAATTCCTTGGGGGGGGGAGAAGGGATTAATTGACTGTTATCTGAGAGCACAAAGGGAGTGCCTAGAGCCTGGGGTCAAAAAGGTGCTACCAGGGATAGTTATTGTTGTGTTGTTTTTTCAGTCCTGTCCCCATTTGGGGTATTCTTGGCAAAGATAATGGAGTGGTTTGCCATTTCCTTCGCTCACCTTGCAGATGAGAAAACAGGCAAATGGTTAAGTGACTTGCGCAGGGTCACAGAGCTAGTAAATAAATGTTTGAGGACAGATTTGAATTCAGGTCTTCCTGGCTTCAGATCCAGTTATCTATCCACTGACCCCACCTAGCTGCCCATGGGTAGCTGAGCCCTTGGAGTGGTTTAAAAGGGGTATTAAAAGTTTGGGAGGTGGGAAGGACTGGGGGTGGGGAGAGTGGGAAGGCACTGATCTGTACAGAAGGCCCTGGCAATGGGAATTAAATCTTACGATCCTGGAATGAGTTCTATAGGTTGCTCACCCACAGCGTATACAATGAATGAATGAAGCATTTATTAAATGCTTGCTATGTGCAAGGCATTGTGGATAACCACAGAAAAGCAAGACAGTCCCTGTTCTCAATGAGCTTCTTTTCTAATGGGATGGGTTGGGGGAGACAACACATATGAAAGTTTCAGCTGCAAGTCACATGAAAATATTCCATGATTCTTGGGGTGCAATGGCAAGGCAGCTGGTAATGGTTCTTTGTTAGGGTCATTTCCACATATAATCATGCTTCATTTTCAAAGATGTCATTGCTGCAGCCTAGAATTACTCATCCCATTGTTTTAAGATCAAGCCCAATAATTGCGCCTTCATTGATATGATGCTTTCATTTTCATAGACATACTGGGTAGCCAAAAGAAATTTTAACTATGTTGGGGGCAAGAGGAAATCAAAGAAGTAATGATTGGTGCTTGGAGTAGAGGGGACGTTGGTAATAGAAGAAGGTGAGAAGAACTCAATGCTTCTTTTGCTTCTGCTTTGTTTACCAGGGAGAATGGCCTTTGGACTGGAAAGGATAGAAAGGAAAAAAGAGAGCTGAGACCAAATATAAATGAGAAGATAGACAATAAGATAGAAACTAGCTGCCCTCAATGTATTCAAGTTATCAAGATTAGTGAGCTATAGAAATTTTACAGTACTGAAAACTGGCAGATGTCATTGCTTGAACTGCTTTTGGTGGTCTTTGAAAAATCGTAGAGGAACAGGAAGGTTCTGCAGGAGTGGAGAAATGGTATCTTCATTTTCAGCACAAGGACCAGAATGGTGATATCCATTCTTGGGCAAATTCTTGAACACATTATTTCATGTTCTTTGCTACTCCAAAATATGCTGCTATAAATATTTTATTATATATGGGGCCTACCTTTTCTTTCTTTCTTTTGAATCATTGATCTCCTTGGAGTATAACCTAATAATGGAATCTCTGGGTCAAATCAAATAGATATTTCTAAGCACAATTCCAAATTGCTGTTCAGACCTGATAGAACAATTCATAGCTCTATTAACAATGTGTGTGACCCCTTCACCACTAACTATTCCCATCTTTTAGCATATTGAACAATTTATTGCTTGTGAGGTGAAACTTCATCACTATCTTGATGGACATTTCTCTTACTATTAGTGATTTTTTCTTATACTTATCTATAGTTTGGAATTCTGAGAACTGTCTGTTCATATCCTGTGACCACTTACTTATTGGAAAATGGCTTTTGTCCTCGTATAAAAACCGTAAACAATTATTACTAAAAGTCTGAACAGATTAGGCCAGATTAACTTTTTTTTTTTGACATGGTGAGTGGATTAGGGGAATGCTGTAAACATAATATGCCAATTCCTTGTAGGCTGATGTACAGTTAAAGGGATTGAACTGATTGAATGCCCATTCCCAGAGAATCATCATTAATAAGTAGATGGTTATTTGGAGGGAAGGGCAGCTAGGTGGCGTAGTGGCTGCAGTTTGGAAGACTCATCTTTGTGAGTTCAAATCTTCTCAGACACTTACCAGCTATGTGACCCTGGGCAAGTCACTTAATCCTGTTTCCCTTAGTTCCTTGTTGGTTAAATGAGTTGGAGAAAGAAATGGCAAACTATTCCAGATCTCTGCCAAGAAAACCCCAAATGGGGTCATGAAAAGTTGGACATGACTGAAAAACAACTTGCCAACAAAAAACTTAGAAGGAGAACTACAGTGGAGTGTGCCAGGGATCTTTCCTCAACCCTGAAAGGTGATAAGGAGGAAGTGCCTTCCAGACATTGTGGATAGATTATGCAAATGCATGAAGGAGAGAGGTTAGAACATAGCTAGCACTCCAATTGGGTAAAATGTGGAGAGGGTGAAGAGCAACGTGAAGTAAGACTGGAAAAGAGAGGTCAGGGTCAGAGTATAGAGGTAGTTAAATTCCAAGCTGGGGAATTCTTATTTAATCAGAACAGCAATAGGGAGCCCCTGAAGGTTTTTTTTTTTGTAGGGAAGTGAGACAGTTGGACATTAGCCTTAGAAATACTATTTTGTCAGCTATGTGAAGTATGTTGGATGAGGGGAGACTGGAATCAAGGAGACCATTTAGGAAGGGATTACAGTAATCTAAGTGATAAGTGAAGAGGCTTTGAACTATGATGGTGGCCCTGTAAGTGAAAAGAAGAGACTAGGTGTAAGACATATTGTGGAGGCAGAATTGCTAAGGCTTAGCAACAATTGGATATGGGATGCGAGGGATGTGGGTCATGGATAACTCCAAAGCTATGACAGTGCTGTGCTAGAGCAGGCTCCTACCTGCTGGAAAGAGCCCACTGGTAATTTTTGTGTGTGAATATTTACATCTTGGAAATAACTATCTGAAATTATTGGGATCTTGGAAGTAAGATTACAAATCTGGGGTAGATTTATTGTTTTGTTGATTTCTAGATTTAAGAAATTGATGGAGAAAAAATTAATGCAAATTAAGCTTTAAAGTATGTTCTGCATACATTCCAGCCCCCCCCCGAGCTGGTTGTTAAACATTTACCAGCATACCCTTGAACCCCATAGGTGACTGGAACAAACTCTATTTCCTGTCCCCCACTGACCACTCCTTAATTTCCATCCTCCTCAATCTTATATCCCTCCCCCCACAACATCCCACTCAAGATCTACCTACCCTTTCCACTGTGTTCTCTGGAATGAATGGTCCATAGGTAACAAACTTACTTTCATCTTAAACCTTTTTCTTCCTTATTCCTTTCTTCTTACTCCTTCCAAGATCCTTCTGATGATATGGCATCGGGGGCCACCCTTTCCAGCACGGCTTGCACTTTCATTTATACCTATTCCCCCTCCTACTTGCCTTCTTGTGGGGGGTGGCGGGGTGCAAATAAGGGTGGGGAAGTTGGAATACTCCTTACTCCCCACTGCCACTCCCAGGCTTCTGCCCGACCACCATCACCTTTCTCGTTTGAAGTTCATTAAATCTATATTTATCACTCAATCAAGATTTTGGTAGCTGTTATCTACCAATCTCCTGGACACTCACTCTCCTTCCTCAGTGCCTGGCTCATGGTCTTCTTCTCTTCCTCAACTACTGCCCTTATACCGGGTGACTACAACATACATTGATATTCCCTCAAACCCACTAACTTTTCAGGTTCTCAGCTTACTCATTTCTCATAACCTATTCCTCCATTCCACTTCAGCTACACACAGAGA